ACTGAGCCTGTGCTCTAGAGCCCGTGAGCTACAACTCCTGAGCCCATGTGCCACAACTACTGAAGCCCACATGCCTAGAGCCCATGCTCTGCAACAAGAGAAGCCACCAAAATGAGAAGCCCATGCACCACAACGAAGAGTAGCCCCCACTCACCACAACTAGAGAAAGCCCATGTGCAGCAACAAAGACCCAACGCAGCCAAAAATAAATAAATACATAAAATTTATATATTAAAAAAAAGGAGGGATCTCAGCCTCTCCCTGGAGGCTGCATGTTTTCAGCCAGCTGATCAGAAGCTGGGATCTTCTTTGATCCCTAGCCAGCAGCACTCACTTGACTACCAGGGTACCTCTAATCCTGGCCTGTGCAGGGAGATGTGGACTTGAGGCTCACATCTGTCTGTCTATCCAAGTGGACTGGGCCTGTGTGCCTAGGGACAGGTAGCCTGTTAACAGTTGGGTTTGGATCTGTTTTTCATGCATGCGAGTAATCAAAGTTAAAACTAGAGTAGCCTAATTTCCTGGGAGTAGGTGGAGAGCCTTCCCCTGTACAGAGTGAGGAAGGTTTGGAATCAATAGTCCAGGTCTTTTGGGATAAGTGAGAAAACACAGGAATGTTCTTTTTGCACATTTGTTTCTCATGAGTGCCCTATTTTAACAGGAGACAATATATATCGTTCCTAATTAAAAAAAAAAAAATCTGGGGTATCCGAGGAACAGCAGAAGCCGGTGTGGCTGGTATGCAGTAAGGAAAAACCAGTAGAAACGGAAGTCACAGAGGCCAGGGCAGGGGGGCGAGGAGGCATCTGCAGCCTCCACTTTCACTTGTTTAAAAGAGTGAAACGTGACTTTCCACCGGCTGGTAACAACCATCCACGCAAAGGAGCTTCTGGCCACATGCCATTCTCCACCTGTCAGGTGGGCCCCAGAGAGGCACTGCTCAGGACAATCACCCTTTGTTTCCTCACATATTTTGGGGTGAAGATAAAGCAGATAAAAACCCTTGTTTCACAGAGCTTATCGCAACCACACTCTTACACTAGAATGTTTGTGGATTTTCTTTATGATAATCACATAATCACAATGAGAAAGAGATAACAAAAAAGAAATAAAAATATTGTGTCAGGATCATAAACCCTGAATGCTCTTTGCCCTGAATTGAGGACAATTCCCAGAATATTTTTTATTTGGAAAATTCTAACAATCACTGAACATGGTTTTGTTTTTCTTAGTTACTCTGACTTCCCTCTGTACCTCGAGCTGATCACAGCACTCTGGCTGCTTAGGCTGCATTCCACATCAAGAAAATTTTAAAAAGTAAACATGCATTCTCTGAATTGTTAAAATACTCAAACATTTCATCAACTGATCTGTCCAAACTGCTGTGCGCACCCCACTGCTGGGGCACTAATATCCCTTTCCAGCCCCAGTGTTTCTCCACCAACTCTGGGTCTGTTGTCCAACCACTGTGCTCATGGGCTGGTGCTCAGGTTTCTGCTCTGTTCTATTTGCAGACCTATAAGTAAATGATTTGCCCTCTAGTCAACTGCAAATCAGGGACAAGGAGAGCATCCATGCACATGAATTCATTCATTCATACTTTTTTTTGAGTGCATACCAGCCAGGCATGGTTCCAGTACACAAAAAAAGTAGACTCTAGTGAGAAGACAGACCATAAATAAGTAGATATGTCAAGTGATAAGTGTTGTGAAAAGAATGGCAGGTAAAGAGGCTGGAGAGTTTCAGCAGGTGGTGCTAGTTCAGAACAAGTACTCAGGAAAGGACCTTTCGACAAGGTGACTTTGGAGCAGGCATCTGGTAATCTCAGGGTAGGTCTTCCCAGGCAGAGAAGAGAGTGAGAGCCAAGACTCTGAGGCCCAGCTGTGGTGGCCTGGTCTCTGGGAAGCAAAGTCCAGAGGCTGTTTGGAGGGAGGCAGGTGGGTGAGCTCAGAGAGGTACTGGGGACAAGCTCAGATGGATCCTTGTCGGCCAAGGGGAGGGTTAGGGTTTTATTCCTAGTGAGATGGAAAGCCACTGCAGCATTTTGAGAGGTTCAGGCTGGCTGCTATGAGAACAGATTTGAAGCCCAGTTAGAAGACTACCACGGTAATCCAGGCAAAGGGAGAGTGGGGAAATAGGTGCAACAGACAAACATTGGTCCCAAGTGCTAACAGGAGGCCCACTGCTTGGCCTGCACCCCTTCCACTCTGCTTGTTGGGGAGGGTTCATCAGGCGCCTGGGAAAAAGAGAGGTCTGGCTGAGGCTACCTGGCTTGACTGAAATCAAGCATTTGTTCATAGCAGTCATTTTCTTAAATACATTTCATTTTATAATATCCTTTATTTAAGAACTTTACTAATTTAAATCCTTCAGAAGCCTGGGTGAGAAGTGCCTTGTTCTGAATTTCCCAGCAAGTGTTGTAGCTTAATTCAAGAAAAACGGGAGATGTATTTGTCTGCAAGCCTTATGCGGCCTATCTATTTAATCACCTACATGCTACTATTGGTCTTTGCTGCTGTCACCCACTTTAATTTTCTTCGACAAAATGCACACATGCCTATGACATGTAAGTAGACCAGAGTTGTGGGAAGAGCTGGAGTGACATGGACCTGGGGGAAGGCTTGTAAACAGGTTGATGAGGAAATCAGCTCTTCTGTGATCAGCTGAAATTTCTCTTGTGTGTTCTTAAAAGGTTAGAACGTCAACTCCCAGAGATCCTTAAATGGATGCTCCCTTGGATAAGCACTGCTACACCTTCTGTGACTGCTTATGTGTTGAGCTTTATGGTGACTTCCTGTCAGGCAGCCCCAGCCCCTCCTCTCCTGCTGCTGCCCACACCGCAAATCTTGGGTAAAGCCCTGACTGGTGAGCTCTCTCATTCTTCCTGCCTTCCCACGTGTGTTCACCCTGAAGGGCTACTTCTCACTTTACAGCTGTGTGGGTTCAAATTCCTGGCAAACCTGGTTGACTGTCCTGGGTGGACTGCTCAGAGTGAGCCGCAGTGACAGCCTGACGAGACCCCAGAAATGGCCCTGCCACTCCCATGTTTACAGTCATTCACTCACTGTGACTGAGGCATAGTTCCCTTGATCTCACTTTATCCTTTGGAGACTGGAATTTTCCGTTTCAACAACTTTTACTACTCTTTTTTAACATGATTTTATCTGAATAAATTAAAGGTAGGTGAGAGAGGTGAATATGGATCACATGGGGGGGATGGCTGTGGATGTGACAGACATAGATACAGATCAACTGAAATGAATCAACCACCAACATAGCCAGTTTTTCTCAAAGAGGAAAAAATTATCACAAAATTACAACTACCAGATATAACTTTTAATTCTAATTGTTCAGAAACAATCCTGATTTCTCCTAAGTCACAGCTTTTAAAACTAGTAATAAGGTTGACCAGCTTGGGTTATAAGATTTTATCCACTTTAAATAAGGATGCTTTATAAAGTACTTTATTGTGGTTCACAAGTATCAAAGTGCTTCTATATGGCTTCAGTGATTCCCACACAAGCCCTCAGTAGATACGGGTCTTCTAGGTTTAAAAGTTAATCCCAACGTACAAAAAGAAATACAAGGTGCAGCGAGGTTAAGGCTCAAAGGCAAATGTTTACAAAGCCCACATGACATGGGCTTTGTAAATGTCTGGCCCTAACCCCACTCCAAGATGACATTTAAATAATGATTGAAATAATCTCTATGCATCAATAAATTCATGTGATGTGTATGCTTTCTAATAAAACAGTTTTAAAGCTTTCCAAACTCAAAATACTTTCATTTGAAAATTAAAAAAAATTGCCAGTAACTATTCCAATTCCACAAACTAAAAATGTAACAAGAAACAGGTAAAATTAATTTAAATAATATATTTTATTTAACTCAATATATCCAAAATATTACCATTTCAGCATGTAATCAATATTAAAAAATGTATTAATGAGACATTTAATTTTTTTTTCATACTGAGTCTTCAAAATCTGGTATATATTGTATACTTTCTTAATTTGGATGTTAAATTTTCATTCAAAATACTTGCTCTGTATTTAGATTTCATAAAATTTACATTTGCAAAAGACAATTCACATACCCAAGTTATTCCAAGCATACTTAAAAGTTTTCCAGTAACTGAGTTGAGAATCTATATTTGGATTAATTAAAATTTTAAAAAATCAAAAATTCAGTTCCTCAGTTATGCTGACCACAGTTCAGGTGCTCAAGACTTACAACATGGCCCAGGCTGCAGTCCTTGGCAGCGCTGACTTAAAGTGCCCCAAGGATGTTGGCTTAGGGTGTTGCTATTAACAGAATTGTGTTCAGAGAACACTGTCTTTAATCTCCTCTCAAAACTGCATAACTTTCTTGTAGGTTAAACTATCCACTGTTAGCATCGACATTTTATACATACTTAAAATTTTTCTTAATTATATTTTCTCATAAGATGCCATGTCTTCTAGTAACAATCAGATTTTATGTATAAATGCTTCCTGTTGAATTATGAAGAGGTTTATAGCAATACAAACTCTAAAATGACCCAATCAGTCATCCATCCTTCTCCAGTGCAAACATTACCACAAAGTGTTAAAACAGCCCCTAACACCAATGTTAAAAAGGGGATCCCACAATATTTTTTACAAAGTAGTGATTAAATATTCCTTAAATATTTATTTAAGTGGAACAATTCCTGAAAGTAAAGAAGTGAAAATATTTTTACACTATGCTTTAGTTCTCCAGTTTATTTCATGATTTCTTTACAAGAGGAGCATTTAAAAAATAAATGCTATACACTTAGGTGTTAGACTGAATGACAACAGCTCTGAAATTTCCTTTTTCACTGAAACCCTTGAAATTATAAAACTTTAAGTGTGACCCTTGAAATTACAAAACCCATTGATTAAAACAGATGCTCAAATCTTTACCAAAGTGAGTAATTAATCCTGTGCTTAAACTCCTGCAAAAGCTGAATGAGATACAAATGCTGGAGCCGATGAATTCTACACCTTGGCCCTCAGGCTTCTGGCTTGGTCCCACAGCTCCATTTTTGCGACTGCCGAGAGGTGAACTTCATCGGGCCCATCTGCTAAGCACAAAGTTCACGTTAGGGCATACCTGCAAAAACACAAAGAGCAGGGATGGCAGGACTTATCGAAGAGGAACCTGATGCTTTAACATCAGTCACTCTGATTCTAAGCCAAGATTATTAGTGTTTGAAATCTCACCAAGGCAGTGATAAGAAAAATTGCACAGGGAAAATCAAGGAAAGTCAGCCCAAGGGCTTGTGAAATGCCATTTTCAAGTCCTCACCTTGGGAGTGGAATCTTAAATGCCACAGTGCAGTGGGCTTAATCTCAGTCTTAGTTTGCTGTAGGTACTAGTATTTGCTAGAACTAGGAGATATCTTAGGTAATCCACAGGCCATGAAGAATATATAACATTTATATACTATAAATATATAGTACTATATATTTAGTTCTTTCTTATTAAAAATTGATGGGGGATAAACTGATGGGGCACCAGACTCTTATCTCCAGTGTGAGAGAGAAGGTGGCACCATGCCCGGTGGTGATGGGCAGTGGACAGTATTCCTTCTTGATCCCAGCAAGCACATGTGGACGTGAGGTGGTGGCTGGCATGCACTGCCGCAGTCTGGCCACGGCCTCTGGGTGTGGGTGGTAAAGTGTCCTAAGTGCATACCTAAGCCTTGCTCTGCTCCCCTCCTCTCCTTCCTGTTCCAGGGTGAACCCCCATGAGTTATTTACAGCCCAGGAACCCTCAGTGCATCTTCTCAGTGTAAAAGTGAACATGATTGAGTGAAATGACAATTGTAATCATAAAACTATTTATTGGTACTGAGCTCTATAGTAAAATACCTATACTGCCTCAGTTAGCCTTCAATTATGCTTTAAAGTAAGTTATTTATCTTGATACCGTTAGTATCAAGCCATCTGTAGATTTTTAACTCCAAGCCCATCAAATGTAGATGGTGATTAAATGACATCTACTCACATGTTAGCCAGAGGGTATTCGTGGGAAACGCCGGCACCTCCACACATTGGATGGCCTGGTCAATAATTTTGCAGATGGCCCGAAGGGCAGCCACTTTAATCATTGCAATCTACATAAACAAGATATAAAAAGAATGTTCCTTTCTTAGACAATACACAATGTGATAGAATTTGATATAATCTGTATTTTCTCTGTGAAAAGAAACAAGGGAACTTTCCCACATACACACACCACTGAAACACGATCTTTGATGAAAGCCAACAAAGATCCATTAATGCAGCTAACGGACATATTTCAGTCAACACAGACCTTCTGGAAAGAGATATCTCTTCCAAATCACATTTTATTAACTTATTTATTACTTGTATTGTCTTGTTTCTGAAAGGATTTCAGGCAACTGATAAGTGACATTCATCACCTTAGGGATCATAAAGAGTTAAAAAGTCTTCGATAATCAGTTTTCCCTTGGCAATTTCATTGCTTCTATAATTAAACGATCATGTTCTTATTCCAAATAAGCCAGAAACATAAGGCAGGGGACGAGAGGTGTCTTCTATGAAACATTTCTATCTGGCAGTACAGTGCTCTGCATTCTGTATCAACTTGATCAGTCTTCGCTAGAACCCTAGGCCATAGGCAGACAGGTCAGATACTTTGCCCAAGGTCAAGAGGTTAGCAGAAAGTAACATACCGGGTACAATTCCAAGTCAGTATAAAGTTTGGTATTTCTCTACCTTCTCTGCCTTCTGTTGCTGCATCTCAAGAAAGCTGAAGATATTCTGCATCCTGAAAATCATTCCCTAAAGCAGCCCAGTGAAAGGAAAACTAGCAAGGTTGACTGTATAAATTATACATTTATAATTTTTAAACCGAAATCACATGGAAACTTCTGATATTCTGAGTGCCCTCAAGGCACCATGAAACCTGGAATGCCCAAAGAGTGGGACAAACTTCTTGGAGAAGGCTTGGCAGATGGTGGTCCAAGGGGCCTCACCTCCTTCTTAGCACCAGAGCTGCCCAGAGTATCAATGCTGTGGGCAGCTTTCAAGGTCAACAAGCGGATCTCTTCAATGGCAATGTGGCTTTCAGCGATCCAGTGAGCCACCACCTCCTGCAGGGGAGCAAAGAGCAGCAGAAGAAGGAGGAGATAAGCTGGTGTCTGAGGTCCACATGTAACAGACTGGTAGTTTGGTGAAAACATCCTCTATGCCAAGGACTGTTCTCAAGCCTTACTCTATATATTTTTATTTTTATTATATATTTTAAATATATTTATTTATTTATTTATTTTATCTTTGGCTGCGTTGGGTCTTAATTGCTGCATGTGGGCTTTCTCTAGTTGCAGTGAGTGGGGGTTACTCTTCGTTGTGGTGCATGGGCTTCTCATTGTGGTGGCCTCTCTTGTTGCAGAGCACAGGCTCTAGGCATGTGGGCTTCAGTAGTTGTGGCATGCGGGCTCAGTAGTTGCGGCGCACGGGATTAGTTGCTCCACGACATGTGGGATCTTCCCGGACCAGGGCTCGAACCCATGTTTCCTGCATTGGCAGGCAGATTCTTAACCACTGTGCCACCGGGGAAGTCCTCTATATATTTTTATAATTTATTTATTTTTTGGCGGTATGTGGGCCTCTCACTGCCGTGGCCGCTCCTGTCGCGGAGCACAGACTCCGGACGCGCAGGCCCAGCGGCCATGGCTCACGCGCCCAGCCGCTCCGCGGCACGTGGGATCCTCCCGGACCGGGGCACGAACCCGTATCCCCTGCATCGGCAGGCGGACTCTCAACCACTGCACCACCAGGGAAGCCCTATATATTTTTAAATGGAAGAGTTAATTTGTTTGAAATAACCAGCCAGCCGCATACCCATGGAATGCTGCAGGTAACATTGGTGGATTTTAGAAACAAACTTTATTTGCTCAGAAAAATAATTTATTTTGGATATTCTGGTGCCTAAAGTTAAGATGGTCTAACTGAGCAATTGTCTTATTGCCAAGACACTCCTTACTGGCCCTTCTGAATGCTAACTGCACACTACCATTGAAACTTGGTTAAATGTAAGGTCGTGGACCTGCTTATAGACAATCTAGATAATTCCTAAGATAATTTCAGTGTGAGAATGGTCCAGCATCCTTTGTTGTGTTATTACTCTTATTTATTTAGTAAAAATGAACTTTTTCTTTGGTGAACAGTTCTATGAATTTTAACACATGTGTATACTGGTATAACCACAATCAAGATACAGAACAGTTTAATCTCCCCCCAAAAACTCCCTCATGCTGCCCCTTTTTAACCATACTTCTGCCCTCTAGCAACCACTGAATGGTTCTGTTATTATACTGTTGCCTTTTCCAGAATGTCATATAAATGGAATCATTTATCATGTATTCTTTAGAGGCCAGCTTCCTTCACTTAGCATAATTCCTTTGAATTTCATCCGAATTGTTCTGTGTATCAACTGTCCATTCCTCTTTATCACTGAGTAGTATTCCATTGTAGGGATGTACCACAATTTGTTTTTCCATTCACCTGTTGAAGGACAGTTGGGTTGTTTCCAGTTTTTGGTGAATTATTAACAGAGCTTCTGTAAATATCTGTATATGGGTTTCTGTGTGAACATACCTTTTTATTTTTTAAAGCAAATACCAGGAGTGGAATTGTTAGGTCATGTGGTAAATACTTGTAAGAAGCCGTCAGTTTTCCAGAGTGACTGTACCATTTTGCATGCCCACCAGCAGTATATGAGTTCCAGTTACTCTTCAAACCATCAGCACTTGCTATCATCAGTATTTTAAAATTTTAGCCATTTTAACAATGTGCAGAGATATCTCATGGTGGTTTTAATTTGTATTTCCCTAATTGCTGATGATATTGGTCACCTCTTGATGTGTTTATTTGCCATTTATAAATTCTGTTTGGTGGCAAGTCTGTTCAAGTCATTTGCCCATTTTTTAATTGGGCTTAGAGAGCTGGGCTTAGAGTTCATTATTCAGTCATTTGTTAGATAGGCAATTTGCAAATACTTTCTCCCAGTCCATAGCTTTTTTCATTCTCTTAATAGTGACTTTCATAGTGCTAAAGTGTTCAATTTTAATGAAGTACAGTTTGTCAATTTTTTTCCCTTATGTGTCATGTTTTTGGTGCATGTCTAAGAACATTTTGCCTAATACCAGGTCAGGAGACTTATCTTCGTGATATTTTCACCTATATAAAAAAGTCAATTGACCCATGTTTTTATGAGTCTATTTCTAGACCTGCTATTCTGTTCCAAAGACCTATGTGTCTCTCCTTATACCACACTGTCTTGATTGTCGTAGCTTACGGTAAGTTTTCAATCAGATACTGGGATTCCTCCAACTTTACTTCTTTTTCAAACTGTTTTATTATTTTAGTTTCTCTGTATTTCCATATAAATTCTAGGATCAACTTGCTTATATATACAAAAATGTTCTGCTGGAGTTCTGATTGGAATTACATTAAATCTATAGATCAATTTGAGAATAGCTGACATCTTTACTATGTTAGCCTTCCAATCCATGAACATAGTATTTCTCTGTATTTATTTAGGCTTCTTTTGGTTTCTTTTTATAATTTTTAGCATGTAGATTCTATACATGTTTTGTTAGATTTGTACCTATTTCCTTTCTTAGTCTATTGTAAATGGTATTAAAAAAATTTCAGCTTCTGATTGTTCACTGCTAGTATACAGAAATAAAATTAATTTTATGTGTTGATTCAATCCTATGACTTTGCTAAACTCATTTATTATTAGTTCTAGGAGGATTGTTTTGTTTCGTTTGGTAGGTTTCTAAGGATTTTCTACACAATCATGTTTACAAAGAGGGGCAGTTTTATTTTTTCCCCCAATTATGCACTTTATTTCTTTTTCTTGTCTCACCACAATGGCTAAGACTTCTTCTATGATGATAAAGAGCAGTGGTGGTGGGACTTCCCTGGTGGCACAGTGGTTAAGAACCCGCCTGCCAATGCAGGGGACATGGGTTCAAGCCCTGGTCCGGGAAGATCCCACATGACGCTGAGCAACTAAGCCTGTGTGCCAAAACTACTGTGTTTATGCTCTAGAGCCTGTGAGCCACAACTACGGAGCCCACGTGCCACAACTACTGAAGCTTGCATACCTAGAGCCCATGCTCTGCAACAAGAGAAGCCACCGCAATGAGAAGTCCGCGCACTGCAGTAAAGAGTAGCCCCCGCTCGCCCCAACTAGAGAAAGCCTGCGTGCAGCAATGAAGACCCAACACAGCTAAAAATAAATAAATAATAAAAATTTAAAAAGTGTTAAAAAAAAAGAGCAGTGGTGAGAGTAAACATTCTTGCTTTGTTCCCAATCTTGGGAATGAAAACATTCAGTCTTTCATTATTAAGTATGATGTTGGCCGTAGAATTTTTAGATGCTCCGTATCAGGTTAAATTCCTTTCTATCTCTAGTATGCTGAGAGTTTTATCATGAATAGATGCTGAATTTTGTCAGGTGCCTTTTTCTATCAATCGATATGATCATGTGGTTTTTCTTTTCTAGGCTATTAATATGGCACATTACAATGATTAATTTTCTTAATGATTGATATTTGAATATGAATCAGCCTTGCATTCCTGGGATAAACCTCACTTCGTTGTTCTTTTTACATATTGCTGGATTACATTTGCTAGGTTTTTGCATCTATACTGGTCTGTAGTTTGTTCTTGTCTGGTTTTGGATTAGTGTAATTCTGGTCTCATAAATGAGTTGGCATGGGCTTCCTCCTCTTCGTTTTTCTGGAAGAGATTGTGTAGAATTTGTGTTATTTCTTCTTTAACTGTTTAGCAGAATTTACCAGTGATACCATTTGGGCCTGAAGATTTCTTTTCTCAGGATATTTTAAACTGTGTATTCAGCTTCTTTAATAGTTGTAGAACCATTCAGGTTATCTATTTCACATTCAGTGAGTTTTGGTATTTTATGGCTTTTGAGGAATTGATCCATTTCATCTAAGTTGCTAAATTTATGTGCTCTGCATACATGCTTGAGTGTGTGTTTCCTAAGCCCCAGTTCTAGGGTGGAGCAGACTCTACCTCAGCTTCAGCAGCAGTCCCTATTCTCCAGTTCAGGTTTTCCCAGAGAACTCCACATTGTGGTTTATAGAATACTTGCACAAATTATGAAATTGGTATTTCCAAAGACTTCTATTTCCAGGAAGATGGAATAGATGTACTTTTCCCTATTCCTCCTGCAAAGTACAACTAAAATCTTGGGCATCATCCATAGAACAAACACAAGAAGACTCTGAAAGGTAGAGAGAAGAAGCCAGACTGGCCAGGGACTTTGGGAACAGAAGAACAACATGGTAGTAAGTTCCCTCTGTTTCCTCTTTGTCTCATATATCCCAGACTTGGAGCTGAAGAAGCCAGCAACCTGGAAATACCAATGAGCACAGACAAAAATCAAACAAAAAACAACCTCAACAAATACTGTCTTTAGCTGAAGGATTGGGAAGGGGCAGCTAGAAGGACAGAAAACTTAGAGAATAACCACTCTACCCAAGCCAATACTAAAGAAAAAAGCACTGGCCCCACTCCTACCCATGCCAGCACAGACTTCCACCCTTGTGAGTGCTGAGATGAGGTACCTCAACACCCTTGCCAGGGTGGTATCAGACAGAGTGTCAAGTAAGGAGCGACACCAGGAACAAGTTTCCTCCCCTCTATGATGTCATTGGGGAAAACCCAGTGATGAGAATGCACCCCTTTCCTCAGCTATCAGTGGAGGCTGAGCAGGAAGCTGTACTTCTACCTACCTCTGCCTGACAGTAATGAGGTGAACCCCTTCCTCTAACAGAGCAGTGTCAGAGAAACCCAGCTAAAATAAAGTTTAAATAAGATCCAGAATCTCATAACATAATATGAAAATGTCTAGGTTTTAACAAAAAATCATTTGTCATGCCAAAACCCAGGAAGTCTCAAAATTTATGATGATGACAACTCTGAGATAACAGAAATGTTACAATTTCTGACAAAGATTTTAAAGCAACTATGATAAAAATGCTTCAATCAGTAAATAAAAACACAACTGAAACAAATGAGAAAACAGAAAGCCTCAGCAAAGGAACTTAATTTA